TAAAAAGTAAAGAATCAAACTGAACCTTCATCAAAATTAAAAATGTCTGCCTATAAAAACACAACTTAAAAATGAAAATGTAAGGAAAGGGGAGTGCTACTGACTGCTTGATGGGTAAGGGTTTTCTTCTGGGGTACTGAAGATGTTTTGGAATTAGATAAAGCTGGTGGTTATAAAATATTGTGAGTGTATTAAATGCCATTAAATACTACACTTTAAAAGGTTTAATTTTGTGTTATGTCAATTTCATCTCAGTTAAAAAAAAAGAGCAAAAGAAAAAGGAAAATAGAGTGAGAATAACAGCAGTAAGGGATGAACAATTAGAAAATTTGGGCTATTTAAAAACTTAGACCACATGGTCATTTAAAGGAAAATAAAGAGAAAGAAACAAGGAAAATGTAAGCTACTTAATGGGAGAAACATTTGCAATACAAATATTGGTCAAGAAATGTGTATCCCCATAATATTTAGAACACTTATAAATGAAGAGTGAAACAACCCAATTTAAAAGTTTCTGCAATTTAAAACTACTGTAAACAATTCCCATAAAGCAGAGTGGTGGAACATATTGCAGTATGTACAGAGTTAAGTATCAACCAAAACACTGAGGAAGACCTCTTTGAATCTCCATACTGATGAAATGATTTCCATGATAATGAAGTGGAAAAGGCAAACTGTAAAAGACCATCTACAATATGCTGCCATTCATGTAAGAAGGATGGGGATATGAAAAAATATACATGTAGTTACCCAGTTGTGAACAAGGGGAAAAGAAAAGATAAACCAGAAACTAAGGAGACTAGTTACCTGGAAAGGTGGGAGGAATGGGACCAGTAATGGGGGAAGAACAACAATCCTCAGAGTTCTAATTCTTAGAACCACAGTAATGCTTCATACTGCAAAAATAAATAGAGTCAACCATGAGGAGGAGTAACTCAAATTGGAATATAAACAATAAGAGAAATACCTGACTCTAAGATTAACATATGTAGGGGGTTCGGGGGAAAAACTAACCTATCTATTTAACGTGTTGACTGGATACTGTAAGGGTAAAGAAACAAAAGCCCTGTATTTGAACACTGTACTTTAGTTAGTGCTTTCATTTTTAAAGGGGTATGTTTTAGCGATTCTGAAACTACTACATATTGGATTAAGGAAATAAGAAACTATTGTGGATAATGAAAGGTAGGTTTCTTGCTGTTAGAGAAAGGAGTTACAAATAGGGAAAGAGGGAAGAAGAAAATAAGTCATAATCAGAAACATTAGTATGGAGATACAAACACACAGATGGAGTTTTTTAGGTGGGTGCATGTGTGTATGAATAAACCTAAAAATATTTCCCAACTCTGTGCATTAGTAGGGCCTAGAAGAAATGATTTCCCAGTAGCAATGAGCACACATAACACTCAGATCTTGGTTTCTAAATATTATTTTCCAATACAAAGAACCAGAGCTCCTTGAAGTAATGGCTGATTCCAGGTTTGGGGAAGGAAAACATAAGATAAACCTAGAACATCTGTGGAACCAGAAAATAAGTAAGTGCTCAAAAAATTATGTGGGCATGGTAAAAGAACACAGGGGCCAACTTTAAAGGAGCTCCCAATGGTCAAATCTTAAAAAAAATTTTAGAAGTAAAAATAAATAATTATAACAATATATGAAAACCCATAGACTAAAGTAAATATCATAAATCCATATTGATGTAGAACAACGACCGAATACATAAAAAATAGAGGAGGGGGGCAGGGAAGAGTTCTTCCCTATAGTTAAATTCTGGTGAATAAGTGTAGAAAGTATCATGGAAATAGAAAACTATCATTAGGTAAACATCATAGTATTAATTTATGTAGGCAAGAATGATCAATGGGTACTAAAATTAGTGAGTAAATGTATGATAAGAAAGACAATATTTGCATAGTCTCAAAGTATCTCCTCACAAAATATTTGTTAATTGAAAAGAGAAAAGTAGTAACTTTGTAGTGGAGAAGCCTGGCATACACCACCTTAACCAAAAGTGACCATATTTAACATTTGCTGAAATAAGACATATTGACTTCATGCACTCCTGATATGATCCACTAAAAGCACATACTATCATCGCTGTGTTATCTTTACCAAAATTGCATAACCCCAATCTCATCATTAAAGTATCAGACAAGCCAGACTGAGGACTTTTGTACAAAATTACAGCCTAGTTCTTCTCAAATGTGTCAAGGTTATGAAATACAAAGAAGGACTGAGGTACTCCCCCAGATTAGGGGGTTGGCATAGAGAAAAAGGAAACATGACAAAGAAATGCAATATGGAATCTTGAATTAGATTCTGAACTAGAAAAAAGAACATTAGTGGACAACTGGAAAAATTAAAATTATGGTCTTCAGACTAGTTAATAGTATTTACGTATTTCAAAGATTGTTACATGTATTAACGTTATAATAATGGTTATATAAGACGCTAACATTAGGAAATCAGGGTAAATAATATATAAGAACTCTGTACTATTTTTGAAAATTTCCTGCAAGTCTAAAATTACTTCAAAATAATAAATAAAATTTTGGGAAAAACTAAACAGAAACTTTTCCTAAGATTTAAAACTGGCAGCTAAACTTATGAAAATTTTTTTATCTTAAGTGACCAAACTGTAAACTGAAGTCACAATAAGATAACATCTCACACTCACTCAAGTGAATAAGATTTAAAAGAATGACAACTTCAAGTGTTGGTGATGATGGACAGTAATTGAAAATATCATATGTCACTGATATATATGGAGAGTGTGAAAAATTTCCACCTCTTTAGAAGACTCTTTGACAGTTCCTTATAAAATTAAGCAAAACATATCTTATAATCAAGCAAATTCCATTTTTAGGTAATTGCATAAAAGATTTGCTAACATATTCAAAATAGCTAAAAACTGGAAACAACCCAGATGTCCATCAACAGGAGAATGAATAAACAGATTGCAATATGCCTGTTCAATGGAATGTTACTCTATAACTAAACAGAAAAAAATTTAAACTTACTGATACAGGGAATAACATGGATAAATCTCAACATCATTATGATGAGTGGAAGAAGTCAGACATATACTGTGTGATTTCATTTAATTAATTGTGAGAACAGACAAAACTAATCTATGATGATAGAAATCAGAACATTGTCTCCTATGAGAATTAGGCTTAGCTGGAAGGATGCAGTAGGGGAGGTTCTCAAGTAATAAAAAATACTCTACCTCCTGAATAAGGTAGTAGTTACATGGGTATATACTTTTAAGAAAACTCATTGAATTACACTATTAAGATCTATGCATTTAACTATGAAAATTTTACCTGTGTAAAATTATATTTTTTAACACATCTTTATTGGAATATAATTGCTTTACAATGTTGTGTTAGTTTCTGCTGTATAACTAAGTGAATCAGCTATATGTATACATATATCCCCTCCCTCTTGCATCTTCCTCCCACCCTCCCTATCCCACCCCTTTAGGTGGTCACAAAGCACTGAGCTGATCTCCCTGTGCCATGCAGCTGCTTCCCACTAGACATCTATTTTACATTTGGTAGTGTATATATGTCCATGCCATTCTCATTTCATCCCAGCTTACCCTTCCTCCTCCCCGTGTCCTCAAGTCGGTTCTCTACATCTGCATCTTTATTCCTGTCCTGCCCCTGGGTTCATCAGAACCAGTAAAAGTATATTTTTTTAAAAAATAAGGAAGCTCATTACTGATATGAGCTGATCTGCTAGAAATATTAAAAATATTTACACATTACATAGATATATAACATAAAAGGAAGTACAGAACACTATAAAAGTATGTGTGTATATCTATGCATACACTCACACACATTTTGGGATGTGTGTGTGTATGTGTATATGTATGTCCAAAAGGAAACGCAAGAAACTGTAACATAGTTGTCTCCAGGAAAGGGAAATTGAGTGGTTATGAAAGACAGAATTGAAAAGATATATTACCTTTCACTGAAAATCACTTTTTCAATTTTGAATTTTGTAACATATATTATGATTTTAAAAATAAAATTTAAAAAATGCTTCTGGGGGAAAGCAGTGTTATGATTTCTCTAACTTATTTAAAAATACTTTAAAAATAACATGAAGTGAATATGGCAAAATGTGGTAGAACCTGGGTTACTGGTATTTGTAAAGTCACTGTTCTTTTCTCCTTATACTCTGTGTGAAGTTTTATAAAATTCAGAACAGAGAAAATCTTTCATTGCCAAGAACAAGTGAAAATCAGTGGATTACACATGTTTAAGAATTTATTAGGAAAAAACCACAGAGGAATACAGAAAAAATATATAAATAAATTAGAACATTAAAAAAAACAACACTGATAAATTATACCAAAGAGCTGATTGGGGAACAGGGGAATGGAGAACTAGTGATGATAAAAATCCATGAGTCAAACTCATTTCATTAAAAAAGACATAGCAGAAACAACCAAGACTGGAATGAAAACGGATATTAATTGAGACAAGAGAAATTAACAGAGTGATGAAAGAACACTTTGTATTACTTCATCCTACATACCGTGTTTGCAAATCTACTTGGACTGTGATTTTCTAGTAGAAAACAAGTTAAATATAAGATAATAAAACAAAAAATAAGCAATAACCGTAGAAAAAAGTGAGAACACTTTCTAGATAGTTAGCCTCAGTTCTACTCCAAACCACCAAAAACAAAGGAGAATTCAGGTGATTTAAATGATGTGTTCGCTTAACTGCTGATGTTAATGCCAAACCTTTTCAACCCATTCTAGAGCACAGAGTAAAAAGAAAATCCTTAAAATTATTTTAACACAACCAGAAAATCTAATATACAAACATGACAAAAACAGAACAAAAAAGAAAATTGCAGATCAGTTTCATCTAAGTAGTACACCTGCAAAAATTCCAAATCAAATTAAGATACTCATAATTCAGTAGTAAATTTAAAAAGCAAAACTTCTTTTTAACCAAAATGAGTTTGCTGAATAAACAATAAAAGGAATATAAGGAAATTTCAATATTAAAAATGAATTATTTCACAATGATAAAAGTTTAAAGAATAATACAATTGTTTATGCAAAAAGCATTTGATTATATCTACCACTTGGTTTTGATTAAAATTCTTTAGAAATATATCAAAGGTAAGAGACTTTTCCTAACACAATACACAAGAATCTCAAATTTAAAATTAGCATCTTACTTTGATGACTGAGACTACTTACATCAAAATAACTTACCTATTGGAACTAAGACCTGATACCACCCCTAGCAGGGTTCTATAAACAAGATAGAACTGTAAACCAACAAATAAATTCAGTCTGTTCATCTAAGCAAATAGTTCTTCCATCATTGATAACTTATTATTCATATAGGGAAGTAGCTCATTCATCAGACAAAAATTTGATTATCTAAACTCACATCAAGGTCCTCATCTTACTCTTTCATCGACTTCAAACTATCGCAGGACAAATTTTGCCCACTCTTAACCAGTTCCCTGCCTTGAAAATCCTGCCTTAAACCACATCAACCCATCCCTCAAAGCCCTAATTTCCTGCTTTTGAAACACTACTAAACCTTGTCAAAGTGGTGTTTTCCCTTGCTGCAGTAGGTTTCTGAGAGTCTTTTTGCTTAATAGACCAGCAAAAACATGCTGGTCAAACCCAAGAAGTATCCATTAAAACCTAATTAAATCAATGGTGGGTAATATTTCCACAATTGTTTAAGTGCTCTGAAAGTATCAGTCAGTGAATTTTATCAACATAACTAAAATCCAGATCATTTGGAAGAGGAGAATCACAACTATCAGTATTTTCAAAGGATTTAGTACATAATTTGAAAAAAAATTCTGAAAAGCCATGAGAAAGAGTAAGGAGATCACTTACCCCCAAAACAAAACAAAACTTCCAGATATAGAAAAATTAGCAAGTAAGAAAATAAACTGAAAGAAGATACCCCCACCACAAAGTGAAAATATTAACAGTAATTAAAATTATTGAATAAAAAGAAAGACATACCTTGATCTTGGATAGGAAGACTATTGTTAAAAACCAATTCTCCACTAAATTAATTTATTGAAGTTGATGAAATTGCAGTCTAAACTGTAATTTCTTCCAATGAGAAGACACATGAGACAGGAGGCAGAAGAAGAGACACACAGACCCACAGAACAAAAATGGAGCCAGTCACAGATGAGAATACAGCATATATGCAAGATGGCATTACAGATAAATGGGCAATTATTGGCAAATAATCGCAAGTAATGGCAAATAACTTGGCAACTTTAAGATTTGAAATAAAAAAACTTTCTCATGATTTAAGAATTTGAATTAAAAAACACAAAATAATTAGAAGTTAACATAGGTGGAGAGTTTTATGGGATCAGTGTAAATATCTTTCTAAAATGACATGAAACTCAGAAGCCATAGAAGCGAACATGGTTATACTTGGACACATAACAGTCATACACATTCTTATAACAAAAATGAAGTTTAAAAGTGTGTAAAAAATATCTGTAATGCTTGACAATTGAAAGCTTATTCCCCCAATAATAAATGAGCTCTCTGAAATTAGCAAGAGATTAAAACCTCCACCCACCCCCAAAATTGGATATAAAAAGAAAATTTAAAAATACAGATGGCTAATAAACATATGAAAAAATGATCACACTCAAAAATGAAAGAAATACAATTTAAGACAATAGTTTGGGCTATCACACTGGCAAAGATTTTAAATAGTCATAAAATTCATTATCTGTGAGGTTGTGGGAAAGCTGGCAATCTCATTCATTGCCATTTGAGGATAAAGTTGTTACCACATTTTAAAGGAAATCTTGTGATCATTTTCAAAATTTGAAATGTGCATATACTTAATCCCAGTATTTTCACTGCTGAGTAATTTATTATGATATAATAGACAAATGCAAATTATTGATATATAGGGAGGTTCATTGCACAGAAATTTGGTGCTAACATAAATATCTATGAATGAGAAATGCTTAAAACATTTAATTATATTTCATGTACAAAACAATCATGCAGTCATTCAACAAATGACACAGATATGTATTACTGAAACAGAAAAAGGTGTTGAAAAAACTGTTAAATGAAATGCAATTTGAAGAATAATGTGTACAATATAGCTCCACTTTCAGAACCCCCCAAAATATCTTGTGTGTGTGTGTTTGTGTGTGTGTGCATCTATCCACTTAAAGAATGCACACAACTTATTTAATAGAGGATAACTCTAGGAGATAGAATTGGGAGAGAGGAGGGCACTTAATTTATATATTAGATATTTAGATATGCTTTGAATTTTTGAAAAAATTTTAATAGAACTTAATTTTTAAATTTACCACATGGCAAATGAAAATTATAAATGTATATTTATGGGAGCACTGAGCAATTCCATCATTCTGAGTTTCTTGTGCAATAATATTTCCTCTACTGAGGCTCCTGGGATTGAGTCAAGTGGAAGCAAGGGAAACAGTCACCATGCCCAAATTAAAGTCTCATCGATGATATCCCAACATGAGCATTTCTCAGTTAAGCATTTCTTATCTGCAGGAGGAATCCACTGCAACACAGGAAATAGAAGAGTTTCCATGCACAAAGAAGACTGTATCATTGTTTTGAAGAAGCTGATGGTAGAAGTAATGGTACCCACAGTAACAAATCCACCTCGTCTCTGTGGTCATCACCTGCAAGGACACAGTGGGGAAAATTGGCAAAGGTGAGGCACACATTTTCTAAGGAGCCTGTCAGGGGGGCTATGAAATCCTTGTACACTCTTCCTCTACATGTTCTGGAAAAAATCTACCCAGAATACACAGAGAAAACCACATTTTCAGCAACTGGGTGGCTGCTATGGCCAGAAAAGTGACTTTAAGACTTCCTAAAGGATGCAAAACACTGGTGATACATTTTTCTCCTTTGCTTGGCCAAAAAATGATGGAGATCTCCAACTATCTCAGATATTTATCTGTCTCTTCCCCTCTGAATTTGGCTCTTTAAAGTTCTAGGTCACTCATTCATTGACTCAATTATTTCAGGCAAAACTACTTGTCTACCTTCCAGTCTAATAATTATTGAGAATCTATTATATCTCATGCATATAATAATTCTCTGATAACACAATGGATCCAGCCAAGGAGTTTAGTTTGTTGGATAAGAAAAGTTAAGGAAATCTTTCATATTAACAGTAAATGTACTAACTGAGATGTAGAAAACTATGAAGATATACAAGAAAAGTTGTATCTCTTTTTTTCCCCCACATCTTTATTGTAGTATAAATGTTTTACAATGTTGTGTTAGTTTCTGCTGTACAACAAAGTGAATCAGCTATATGTATACATATATCCCCCTATCCCCTCCCTCTTGAGCCTCCCTCCCACCCTCCCTATCCCATCTCTCTAGGTCATCACAAAGTACCAAGATGATCTCCCTGTGCTATGCAGTAGCTTCCCATTAGCCATCCATTTTACATTTGGTAGTGTATATACATCAATGCTACTCTCTCACTTCATCCCAGCTTCCCCTTCCCCCCCATTCCGCCCTCAAGTCTGTTCTCTACATCTGCATCTTTATTCCTGCCCTGCCACTAGGTCCATCAGTACTGCTTTTTAAAACTCAATATATATGCATTAGCATATGGTGTTTCTTTTTCTCTTTCTGACTTACTTTACTCTGTATGACAGATTCTAGGTCCATCCACCTCATTACAAATAACTCAGTTTCGTTTCCTTTTATGGCTGAGTAATATTCCATTGTATATATGTGCCACATTTTCTTTACCCATTCATCTGTCGCTGGACACTTAGGTTGCTTCCATGTCCTGGCTATTGTAAATAGTGCTGCAGTGAACATTGTGGTACATGTCTCTTTTTGAATTATGGTTTTCTCAGGGTATATACCCAGTAGTGGGATTGCTGGGTCATATGGTGGTTCTATTTTTAGTTTTTTAAGGAACCTTCATACTGTTCTCCATAGTGGCTGTATCAATTTACATTCCCACCAACAGTGAAGGAGGGTTCCCTTTTCTCCACACCCTCTCCAGCATTTATTGTTTGTAGATTTTTTTGATGATGGCCATTCTGACCGGTGTGAGGTGATACCTCAAAATGGATGAAAGACCTAAATGTAAGGCCAGACACTATAAAACGCTTAGAGGAAAACATAGCCAGAACACTCTATGACATAAATCACAGCAAGATCCTTTTTGAACCACCTCCTAGAGTAAGGGAAATAAAAACAAAAATAAAAAATGGGACCCAATGAAACTTAAAAGCTTTTGCATAGCAAAGGAAACCATAAACAAGACGAAAAGACAACCCTCAGAATGGGACAAAATATTTGCAAATGAAGCAACTGACAAAGGATTAATCTCCAAAATATACAAGCAGCTCATGCAGCTCAATATCAGAAAAACAAACAACCCAGTCCAAAAATGGGCAGAAAATCCAAATAGACATTTCTCCAAAGAAGACATAGAGATAGCCAACAAATGCATGAAAAGATGCTCAACATCACTAATCATTAGAGAAATGCAAATCAAAACCACAGTGAGGTATCACCTCACACAGGTCAGAAGTTACATCTCTTAACTCATTATACAATCTGGCCTTTCAATTAGAATGTAACCACAAGTCATCAATCTTCAGAAAATTAATGTCTAACTTTCTACCCAGATGTGGTTGCTACTAGAAAGCGAGGATTATTCTGACAAAAACCTTACCTTCAGAGGGTAGCCCTTGGACAACAGGTAGGTGAATAGGCTCTGTCTGAAGAATCTTGCTTCAGGGATTTACTGGTATCATTCATTCCCAAAAGAGTTCCCAAGAAGTCATCTTCTGGGGGGGGGGGGGGAGAAAAGAAAAGAAACACCACTTCCAGTGAAAAAGGCAATTCAGCTGGAAGCTGGGAAGTCACCGTTCGGTACTCTCCCAGATTGATTTAATTTGGAAGCTGCTTTCTACTCCGTTACGCAGCTCTGAAATTATACCTAGCTAGCTGCTCATAATTCTATACATCTCAATATCAACACCTTGTATCAGAACCTTTCTCTCTTGTACATTTCCAAAGCTGACTGGATTGCCTGGATCCTGCTGAAAATTGTTTCTTTTTTATCATTTATTTTTTTCTGCTTAGTTGGCCAGGTTATTTATAAAATCACTCTATATCATCTATTCATATATCTATTCTCAATAAAATTTTATTGAAATCCTACTCTATGTCTGACAGCCCATTAGGCACTTGTGTCACAAAAATGAATCTAAAAACATCAGGCCATAAGAAATTAAAACCCCATTTGATGAATCAGTCATACAAATAAAGAGCTGAGAAGTAACTTAGTAAATGGTCCTATAGAGGTAAATTTAGTTTTAGGATAGAATAGTTGAGGAAAGACCCCCATTTAGGAAGACCTGTTATGACCCAAAGCTGTAACTTCCAATTACTATTCTCACGCTCATCTGGATCTTGGATTGGTTTTTAATGCTATTTAGCTACAACCAAATGTCATCAAACTTAAGAAGAGCAAGATCTATCAATGCCTATCCACCTGAGGCCTTTTTCTAATAAACATGCAGTTCCCTGCCTGTATAGTCATACCTGCGAGGGTGTCCAAAGGACCACAGGTGGGAAGGGAGAGCACTGGCTGAGAAGTAAGTTGTCACCTCCTTCTCTAGAACTGACATTCAAAGGTTAAGGCAAAAGCATAGACAGTTTCCCTTTCCTTCTAGGCTCTATCACCTGACAGGAAAAAAAAAAAAAGAGGAAAAATAACAGTTTAAGAAAGAGTATATGCAGATATAAATGCACCTATGTGTACATATAAACTGTACACAAACACACATGCATGTAATCTAATTTAACAATAAAACATTCATAAAATGTGGGTATCCTGTGCTACACACAGACTGGGCAGGGTGGATGTCGCTAAGTCCTTTGTGTGTTACGTGCACAACTTTCAGACATGCACTGCTCTCTTTTCCCCCTGAGGTCCAATAGACACAGAGAGTATCTGACCAATAATTATGTTAGCAAGGGAAAATATTCCCATTCCATTAAGACTAAATGTTAGAAAACAATTTTTTTTACTATTATGTACAGATCAATGAAAACATGGTTTCTCTATTACAACCTGCTGAAGTCCAACAGACGCTCCCAACAATTCCAATGGCAAAAGAAAATTGTTTCTAGTTTATCAATTATCATAAAACCATCTTTAGAAAAAATATGCCTGTCAATAATATCCAAATACCTAGAAACATTGGATTAAGCTAAATTACTCTTTTTAAAAAAATAGTCTAAAATTTGCCCCAGAACAATAATCTAGTGAAAAGGTACAGTTCTGTGCAATAATCAGAAGTGTACTAACTATTCTTCATCTAAAACATATACATAAATACAATATTTTAATATATGATTTTTAAGCAATCTCAATATAACTATAGATGTGACAAAATGAAGAACACATTTGATTACTATGTTCAGATTATCTTCAAAAATGCAGAGAACAATGGCTTACATGTGATTTACTGATCTCAACTTTGCTGATCACCCGATGAACAAATGAAAAACTGTATCTATCTTAAAGTGATGTCTGAATACTCTTTCTGAAGTCATCTGCGGAACACTATATCACACATTTTATCAAATGTATTTACAGGTTTTCTTCTATTATCATGTTAACCATTAAAATATATTGAAATACTAGATTTATGTAAAGGAGTAAAATTTTAACTTCTATATTAAAGTTAAGCAAAAAACATACACTTGTTAAAACATGCATTGGTCTTCTGAATATAAACATATTGATATAAGGCCACTGTCTTATTTCATTTTCTTGCTTCCTGACAAGTCAATAAACAAATTTAGAAATATTTATCATAATGTGATAGCTTATAATTCTACTTTCCAACATAGTTTTCCAAAATAATCTTACCTAAAATTTCAACAACTTTTTAAAGATGTTATTTTTATAATAACTATATCTCTTACCATATAGTGACATACATGTAATAACTCTAGATAACTTGTGTCCAATAGAACTTTGGTTTCTGCTAAACAAAGGTCTGGAAATCTTAGGGGTGAGAAAAAGCATATCATTGTGCATATGTTATTGCACAATGGCTATTGCAATAGCCATTGGTCTCAGACACAGCAAATTTAGTCCTAAATATTCCTGCTGGAAAATATATAGATGTGGACTTTGAGTTTTCTGAAAGTTCCAATAGAAGATAAGCAGCCATTGCCTTCAAAGAAACCTACACAGACACACTTCTTCAGAAAATATTTAAGACCTAAGTTAAGATAATGTATTGAGGAAGAGAAGGATATTAAGTGCCTCTAATGGAAAAAGAAACACAACCTTCTAAAATCACTGTCTCTGTAAAACCTGCTACTACTAAGGAAATCTTGGCAAATGGTAGCAAGTGCTCTGGCTTACATCACACCTGTTTTTTATATAGTTGGATGGCAGAAACATGTTCAACAGTGTTTCACAACCTTTTTTTCCCATCACCTGCCTGGATATCCTTCTTAGACATTTTCTCCTAGTTTTCAACACTGCCCCCAAATTTTAGTACCACAGATATGCTGTATATCTGCTTATGTACTATGGTTGTTTGGAGGACAATGAACCACTGTAATATTTAAGATTTCTTTTGATTTCCAAGAACCAATTTTTCACCTCAGGAGGATGACATCGACTATGTTGAGAATACACTGTGAATACTTGTTAATTTGAGAAAAAAAACTAAACAGGTAAGGAGCGCATAGAGTGTTCCATTCTGTCATGAACTGTGTTTGAGGCAGTTTCCCATTCTCTTCAAATGGTCACTCAACAGGACACACTGCTGAGGTTTCAGGGACCTTCTCTCAATCATATACCTCATTTTGGCCCAACATCATCTTCATTCCTAAAAAGGAAGGAACTATTCAAGCACTCTAAATGTCCAATGCCTTTATGCTTTGAGCTAAGCACAGAAGTGTCAAAAATCCTAGAATCTACAGGAATGGAAACCATGGAGAACTCACCATATTATTAATGTATGTATCTGATGTTATAACAAGGGTCCTCCCAAAAGAGATTAAACTATTGACAAGCAAAACAAAACGAACAAATAAACAAAAACAAATTAAAAAAACCACTGACTAGCAACAGGTAAATTTGAATGATAGTATATTGTCAATGAATCTTCTGGAAACTTCACAGAGATCAGCACTGATACTGATAGTAATGCAAACCTAATATCAATGGCATGTTACTGAGTTTAAAGTGCAACTAGAACATTGCTTTCCTCCACAGCCACCTCCTCTCAAGAAAACACAATGAGACAAATAGTAGCATTCCTCCAACCAATCTAGCTTTCAGTTAAATGGGTTTTCCCTATAGCTATTCTGGGTTTTACTTTTATGTCATTGATCTTTGCTCAGAAATTTATTATTTACTCCCTTTTACTTGATTTGGGTTTAATTCTCTAGTTTAGTCTTTTTCTTGCTTCTTAGGGTTAAAGCTTAGATTATTTGTTTGATATTTTTCCTCTTTTCTGATATAATCATTTAAAACTATAAATTTCCCCCAGGCATGTCTTTAGTTGTATCTGACTCAGTTCTAAATGTTTTCTTTTATAATTTTGTCTTTGACCATGGGTTCTTGTAAAAGATGTTAATTTCCAAATATTTAGTAATAAGCCAGATTGACTTGTTTGATTTCTAATTTAATTTCTTCTGTGGTCACAGAACATACTCTACACAATTTCAATCTTTTAAAATTCACTGAGTTCAGTTTTATAACTTAGCATATGACCTATGTCAGAAAATGTTCCAGATGTGTTTGAAAATAATTTGTGCTCTGCTATTGTTAGGTAGAGTGTTCTATATATGTCAGGTCAAGTTGGTTGATAAGATTGCTCAAGTATGCTATAACCACACTGATTCTCTATATTGGTCTATCAATTATTAAGAAGAGGGTACTGAAGAGCCCAGATGTTACTGCTTAATTGCCTATTTATCCTTTTGATTATGTTGGGTTTTGCTTTATGTAATCTGAGACACTATTACTTGATGATTATGTAATTAAACCTTCTATCATATAATATCTTTCTTAATTTCTAGTAATAGTTTACCATAAAGGCTATTTTCTCTGATGTCAGTATAGCCACTCTTGCTCTCTTCTGGGTATTCTCTGCATGATATAATTACTAATCCTTTACCTTCATACAGTTTGTGTTTTTTGTTCTGAAGTATCTCTTTTATAAACAATGTATACCTGTTTAATTTTATTTCTTTCTTTTTTTTTTTTTTTTTTTGCGGTACGTGGGCCTCTCACTGTTGTGGCCTCCCCGTTGCGGAGCACAGCCTCCGGATGTGCAGGCTCAGCGGCCATGGCTCATGGGCCCTGCCGCTCCGCAGCATGTGGGATCTTCCTGGACCAGGGCACGAACCCGTGTCCCCTGCATTGGCAGGCGGACTCTCAACCACTGCACCACCAGGGAAGCCCTGTTTAATTTTTTTAAATTAAATCTCCCAGTTTCTGTCTTTTAAATTTAATATAATGGTCATGTGGTTGGATTTATGCCTGCCATTTTCCTATCTGTTTTCTAGATGTCATATCATTTTGGTTTCTCTGTTCATTCTTAGCTGCCTTGTTTGTATTAAATAGATACTTCTTATTGTACTATTTTAATTCTTTGGTAGTTCTTTTAATGTTTTTGAGTTATTTGCTTAGTACTGACCCTAGGGTTTACAAATGCACCTTAAATTATCACAATCTACTTCAGAGTAACACTAATTTTGTTATATGTCCTTTTATATATCTTGAACTCAGTTTCAGAGAAGTGATTCTGTCACTTATTTTGTCCAGATTTTCCAACATATCAATTATTGAAGCCATCATTGGCCCCAGCATGTTTATAAAGCAATTGTGAGCCTGAGATAGGTGACAGACATGGAACAATAAGGATCCCATCACCACTGGATACACAGTCCATGCTGCTAAGTCATGGAGACCAGCAAACCCAGTCAGCGATCCAGTTCCATGTCTGACTAATGCAGATAGACTCTCAGTGTCATTGGAACATTGCAAGTCCCTAAAAGAATATCAGTATCCTCAGGACAAAATGCTTACCTTTGTGAGAATTCACACAGGCCTTTGATGATGGGAAGCAGAATTATTCCCAACACTTTCCTTCATGTCTCATCTCACGGGGAAGGGATAAACTCATCCTTATGAAACCCAGTTTTTGGAACATCTCAACCTGTGGGAAAGATAAATGTGCATCTAGATGAGAAGTAGGATGAGTCCATTTGTCAACTATATACAAGACAGGAGCGTTCACTATGTATATGCATAGTGTAATACATATTATCATTCTACTGAGATGTTTCTGAAATTATTCAAAAGACAGATAGTGCAAAAATTGGGGGTGGAAAAGTGCCTCATATGACTCACCAGATTATTAATGCCTCACACTCTTTGGATTAACAGACACCTCACAAAAGCAATAAAATTCTAAATTGCTTAGTAAAATATTCTAGGAACACACATTTATTAAAATTGGATATTACATATGGAAGGCATTGTTTTGATTTTTCCCAGAGAATGGAGCTAGTGCAAGTGACAAAAACAGCACTTCTTTGGTGTGGCAGTGAGAATTACAAGCAGCAAAATATCCCTTCTCTCTAACATCACTTCCAATCTGCAGAGCACAAGGAAAATTAGGGAGCTGAGAAAGAAAACTTTCCTAATGTAATATTTAGTAACAAGTTGTTATAAGGAATACATCAAAGATATTCAGTGGCAATCAATATGACAAGAATGCAGCTGCATGGCACAGGGATATTGGCTCGGTGCTTTGTGACCGCCGGGAGGGTGGGAGGGAGGGAGACGTAAGAGGGAAGACATATGGGAACATATGTTTATGTATGACTGATTCACTTTGTTATAAAGCAGAAACTAACACACCATTGTAAAGCAATTATACCCCAATAAAGATGTTAAAAAAATATGACAAGAACTATAAATGCTCATTCCTTGGAACATATTAATTTAGAAATATTTGTTCTAAGACATTTGTCTCAAAGTTTCCTCAGTGTACCCACCAGAACTTCATTCATTATAACTGGGATCTTTCTTTAAACACATTAGAAATCCATTGGGGGTATATAAAAGTGTATAAGGAAATCCATGTAAAACAAACAAACAAACACAAGAACTGGAAATTTAATCATTTAACATCTGAAAATGTTTAATGCAGTATATAGTTGAAGCCAGTACTTGTGTGTTGCTCTTTTGGTTGATGAGAAAAACAAAAAACAAAGAAACAATAATTCAATCCTAGTGACTGGTTGGCAAGCAAATTAAAATATATTGTGAAGGTCTCACATATAGTACCTACTTTTTAATTATCATATATTTGTTTCACTTACTAGGGAAAAGTAAAAATCCATAATCTGTATTTTGACCACCTATAAATAGCACTCAAGAGAGGACTCCAGTAGCTCAGACAACTGTGTGAATGGCTCAAGTGTAGGTACAACCATTTCTAGAATCTTCAGTGCTCATGTGCTAGTTCCCCAGGGTCTGTTTACTACAAGTGTATTTATGCTGCCAGCTAAAGACTCAAAGGGTTGCAATTTCACCTGACAATTAGATATGAATAGACACTGTACAGTTCAGTTCCTCTAATGCATGCAAGCAGCTTAGCCTGATACCACATGAATGAAATCACTGATCTCCACCCTGCAAATATTTTGCTTAGGGTGGGTATCTATGCTAGACCTCAGTTTCACAGAAGTGATTGTGTAACTCATTTTGTTCAGATTTTTAAATGAGATCAATTATTATAGCAATCATTGATACACATGAGTTTCTAAAATAGGGCACTGCTCACCTCAGAAAGTGAAAGAGACTCTGAAGTTCATCACTTATCTACTCTACTCAGTTATGGAGACCAGACCCCACATCAGTGATCCAGGCTTCACAGCTGACTATCATAGACAGTGCCTATGGTAATTGGAATATTATATAATCCTTAGAAGGAAGGTCAATATTTTAGGGACAAATGCTTACTGACTTGAGAATTCCCACTGGCCTCTTAGGATGGGCCTTTCCTTCATGTTGCATCTCAAGGGGAAGGAATAAACATTTTCATAGGAAACCTGAGCTCTATCCTTGTTACCCTGTGGGAGTAGAATAAAAATGTGGAAAGATTAGAAGTAAACCTGTCCATTGGCCGGTCAGGCATAAGACAGTAGGGTTCAATAATGTACCCTCCTATTAAATAAGCTAATGCATTGCTCTGCTAGGGTGTTTCCAGTGTTATTCCAACAACATTAATTGTATTAGGCTCTCTGGCCTCCATAAGAGCAAATATTGTCCAACATTTTCTGCCAGACAAATTAAATGTGAAATCAGACTGTCGGAATGTGCTTAAAGTTCCAGGAAAATGTTGGCCTGGTGAACAATTCAACCACAACAATGCATATAATACATATATATTCTGTAAATTAAACCTCAGAATTATTTTATCCTCAAAGATGACCCAATGGATTGGGGAGGAGAAAACTGCCATGATAGGGAAATAAAGAACAGTTGTCTAAAAATCACTTATAGCACTAAACTTGCTTGAGCTCAGGAACCTGGCAATTTGCAGAGGATGCACAGTTACTCTACGCCTGATTCTACATGGTATGGTCACAGCAATGCAGGCAGGACTCACACAGGCACAATAAATACCGACATGTGACTAGAGAGGTTGGGAGGGTGCAGAGAGGAAAAGTCAAACACTGAGCCCTCTCACCATGAAATACTTCCCATCCTATTGTCAGGGTGGTGCTCACCAGGCCACACTGCTGAGGATTCAGTACATTTGGCCAAGCACACCCCTCAGTAGAAACAGTTTCTCTCTGCCACACTGGTGAGGAATGGCTTTACTTTCATCTCCATGCTTAATTCCTGTATGAGGCATTAGTAGGAAGACTGAGAAAATGCAAAAATTCTGGAAAAGAACAGAAAGAAGCCTCAAAGAATCACCAGATTATTAAGTCCTCACACTGTTTGAATTGACAGACTCTACAAAACACCAATTAAATTCTTAATTACTTAAAAAATAATAACTCAGGAAAAATTTATAAAAGATTAGATGTTACCTTGAGAGTGCATCATTGGATTTCTTCTTAGATAAGGAGCTGGCAGAAGTGACAAAACCAGCTCTTCTTTGGTGGGGTGGTAAGAATTCCATGCAATTCCAGTATTACTTCCAACCTACAAACCACAGAGGAAATTAGAGGAGTTGAGAAAGAAAACCTTCCAAGTTGAATATTAATTGATAAGAGGTTATAAGGAATTAATTACATATATTTGCTGACCACCTGTATGATAAGAATAAAAATAGCATTGTTCCATGGAACAGGAACGTATAGAAAGTCATTTGTTCTAAGACCTGGTCAAAATTTCTCCAAAGGACCCTTAGAATCACTCATTAAAACTGGGATCTCCCTTAAAACACATGTGAAACAGACTGAAGGAATATGAATATTAACCAATAAAATGCCAAGACCTGGAAACGCAATAATTTTACAATTAAAAATATTTAGTGCAGCATATACTTGACTCCATCACTCAAACGTCTAGAAAAGTTCTCTTTGGGTGAGAAGAAAAATAACTGTATGAATTTTTGTGACTGAGTTAACAATCAAATCAAAACATGCCCTAAGATATTCCTGTAAATACAAACTACTTTTAAATTTCCATATATTTGCTTTATCTAAAAAAATTGACAAGTAAAGACATAATATCTTTTGAACTGACTACGTAATTGACCTCAATAGACTACTGCTCACTCACAAGATTGTAGCATCTAAGGAAATCTTGTGAATGGCTCAAGGGTAGACAAAATCATATATCCTTGGTCTCACTACTAATGTGCTGATTCTCCAGAGTCTGATTACTATTAGTGAATGGATGTTGTCAGCCAAGCACTCTAAGAGTTTCCACGTCGTCCCTAAACCAGACATTTATAGATCTCTGTACAGCTCATTTCCCTTAATGTATGCAATCATGTGAGCTTTCAAACACTTCAGTCCTGGCTGGTACCTCTACTAGACCAATTGAGCTCCCTCCACATTTTTTGCCTAGCATGGTCCCTGGGAGGGACCTCAGCTGACAAATGATTTTGTCACTCAGTTTGTTCATATTCCAATGAGAAACATATGTGAAGTTATCATTAATCCAGGCACATTAGTAAAAGGGACTTTGATCCTGAGATATGTGGCAGTCACTGAGCACTCAGGGATCTGACACCCTCAGACACATTGACCCACAGTATTCAATAATGCAGACCAGTCATCACAGTCGATAACAGCCCCATGACTGACTAGCACAGCCAGAGTCTCATTGTCGTATGAGTGTTACAATGTCCTAAGAGGAATGTCAGTATTTTCAGGATGAAATGCTTACTGATGTTACAATTCCCACTGGCATTTGAGGATGAGATGGTAAAATGATTTTCAATACTTTCCTTCATGTCACCTCTCAAGAAGAGGGATAAACTCTTTCATATTAAACTCAACCAGTGGTCCATATCTGTGGAACTAGAGTAAAAATATGGAAAAATGAGATGTATATATGTCTATTTGTCAAACATGCAAAAGACAAGCAGATTTATTATGTACCTTCATATTAAATATACACATATTACTTTACTAGAATGTTTCTGATGTTATTCAAAGGGAGAAAGCACAAAAACCTTGGAAATAAAGGAGACAAAATATTGGACCTCACCAGATAATTAATAACACATTATTTGGATTAACAGATACTTCACAAAACCAATTATCTACCTGATTACAAAAAATATAATAAAAATAAGCCATAAAAAGAAAATTTGTTTAAAATTTGTTATTACCTTTGGAGTTCATTATTTTGTTCCATCCCAGGAGAGGGAACAGGTGAAAGCAACAAAATCAGCACTTTTTTATGGTGGTGAGTATTCCATGCAATTCCAAAGTCACTTCCATCTTTCAAAGCACAGAGGAAATAAAGGAAGTTGTGAAATAAAACCTTCCCAATTGAATGTCAATTGATAAAAAGTAATAAGGAATTAACCACAGATATTCACTTGACCATCTATATAATGAGAAAAAATTATGTTTGTTCCTTGGAAAAGGGTAGAATAGAAAATCAATTTTTCTAAGACATTCATCTCAAAGTTGACCCAAAATTCCCCCTATTACTTACTAAAATTACAACATCTCTTTAAACATATAAACCCATTGAAGGAATATGAATATTCGCTGATGATATCCACATAAAATTCCAAGAATTAGAAATTTAATCATTTCATGTTAAAAATGTTTAATGAAATATCTAAATTTAATCCATCATCAAATATCTAGGGAATTTCTCCCTGAGTGACAAGAAAAAGAAAAAAACATATTCTACTCTTTGAATTGATAGGTTAGCAAGCAAATTAAAACATGATATAAGATAATCTCACTAATGCAATCAACTCTTCTATTTTCCCATATTTCTTTCACTTAAGAGATAAATGACAAGCAAAAACTAATAATTTCTTTCTAATTGGCTATCTAATAGACCAAAACACGCTGATCTTCACAAAAGACTGCAACATTTAAGGAAACTGTGAGAATGTCCTAGTGTAAGCACAACCATTTCATGTGCTGATTCTCCACTGTTTGTTTACTATGGGTGTAAAGATACTGCCTGTCAAGCACTCAGAGTTGTCATTCCACAATGGTTATTTATAATTTCTGTACAATTCATTTCCTCTAGCATACGCCAGCATCTTAGTTTTCTAATATCATAGTCCTTTTATGGGGGATACTACTAGCTGACCAAACTGAATCCTCTACATTTTTGCCTAAAGTGGTCTCTTATGCTGGATCTCAGTTCACATAAGTGATTTTGTCACTCATTTTGTTCAGATTCCAACGAGATCCATTTTTGAAGTCATCATCAATCCAGGCACATTTGTGAAAGAGACCTTGATCCTGAGATATGTGGCAGACACTGAGCTCTCAGGACTCCATCTCCCTGTGACACAGTGGCCCACACTTTTATACAAAACTGAGTTCTTGGTCCATGTCGATATGCTGGCATAGAGTAAAATTATGGAAAGATGAGAAGTATATGTGTCCACCTGTTAACCACGCAGAACACAAGATGTTTACTATGCACAAGTATACAAAAATACTATTTCTCTAGTAGGATCTTCTGATGTTATGCAAAATGGAGGAAGCATTAAAATCCTGGGAAAAAAGTACACAGAAACCTCAGATGACCCAGACTATTAAAAGCCTCACATGTTCAGATTAACAGACTCCAAAAGACCATCTGTAATCTTGCTCGCTAAAAACACATACTAACCCAGGAAAATACATTTATTAAAAGTTGCAATGTTACCTCTGGAGTGCATTGTTGTGATTATTTATGCAGAAGGGAGCTGGTATGAATGAGAAAATCAGCAGTTCCTTGAAGAAGTGGGAGGAATTCCATCCAACTTCAATATCACCTCTAATCTACTGAATATATTGGGAAATTAGGGAATTTGACAAACCAAACCATCATAATTGAAAGTTTACTAACTAATAACAGATTATAAGGAATAAACCATAGATATTCCCTTGACTATCTGTATAAGAAGAAAAATAATGCTCACTACTTGGATCAGGGTAACACTGAAAGTTGTAAGGCCTTGGTCTCAAAGTTTCCCCAAAGCCTTCACTCAGCAGCAGGCATTAATACTAGGATCTCCCCTTCAACACTATGAAACCCACTAACACAATATGAATACTGGGCAATGAAATCTACCTAAAATATAAGTAATTGGAAATGTAATAATTTTTAATTAAATATGTTTAATACAGCATCTATTTGGATCCATAACATAAATGTCTAGAAAATTCCTCTTTGGGTGACAGGGAAAAAAACTCTTCTAATACTTGTGACTTGGTCAGCAAGGAAATTAAAATGTTCTGGAAGACATTTTGACAAATAGAAACTGCTCTTAAATTTCTATGTTTTTCTTTTACTTTAAGAGATAAATAAACACTCATATATTCTGCCTTGAATACCTAATTGACTTCACTCTGAAGACTAAGGCACCTAAGAAGAATGTGTGAATAGCTCATGGGTAGACATAACCATTTACCACCAGCCTCTCTACTCCTATGCTGGTTCTCCAGGATCTGGTTACTATGAATGCATGGAAACTGCCAGCCAAGCATTCAAAGAGTTGCCATGTCATCCCTAAGTCAGATATTTATAGACCTCCGTGAAATTCAATTCCTTTAATGTATGCAATCAGGATAGCATTCAATTACTATGGACCCTATAGGTACCACTAGCTGACCAAACTGAGCTCTACCCCAACATTTTTGCCTAGCATGGTCTCTTCTGCTGGACCTCAGTTCACATCAGTGATTTTGTCACTAATTTTGTTCAGATTCCAACAATATCCATTTTTGAAGTCATCATCGATCCAGGCACATTTGTGAAAGAGACCTTGATCCTTAGATATGTGGCAGACACTGAGCTCTCAGGACTCCGTCTCCCTGGGATGGAGTATTTTCAGGAAAAAGTACATTAGAATTCCCACTGGCCCTTGAGGATGGAAGGCAGAATTATTCCTAATATTTTCCTTCATGGCACATATCAAGGAGTAGGAAGAAACTCGTCCATATGAAACCTAGTTTTTGGTCCATATCTACTTGTGGGAAAGTATAAATGTGAAAAGGTGAAAGGTATACATGTCTATTTGTCAAAATTGCATAAGACAAGAAGATGTGCTATGTATCTTTATGGAAAATCTCCTAATTTATTACTCCTTTAGGATGTTTCTGGTTAAAGTAAAGCATAAAATCTTAAAAATAAAGGAGACTGAAGCCTCAGATGCCTCAACAGATTATTAAAGCTAGTAGAGTTGTTTGTATTAACTGATTATTCAACAACTCAATACAATTTTTGATTACTTAAAAAATAATAAAAATAATCCAGAAAAGTAAATTTACTAAAATTGGATGTTACCCTAGGAGTGCATTGTTTTGTTACTTCCCAGTTAAGAGAGCTGGCACAAGTGACAAAATCGGTACCTCAGTGGTGTGGTGATGACATTCATGGAATTCTAATGTTATGGTCAATATAAAAAGTACGCAGGAAATTAGGGAAATTGCAAAACAAAGTTTTCCTAATGGAATATTCAGCTGTAAGAAGTTATAAGTATTCATAACAGATATTCCTTGAATCATGAGATGACAAGAACAATTATGCTCACAACTTTGATCACAGTAGAACAGATATAATTTTTTCTAAGATATTTGTCTCAAAGTTTCCCCAAAACAGTCACTGCAAAATCATTTACTGTAACTAGGATGTCTCTTTAAACACATTAGAAACCCATTGAGAATATATGAAAGGGGCCAATGATATCCATGTAAAAATCTAAGAATTTGAAGTATAATCATTTCACATCAGAAAACTATTAGTAGTTGAAGCCAGCATTCAAAATATATGAAATTACTTGCTCAGTTTGTAAGAAAAATGAAAAACAAAGAAACAACTGTTCTACTTCTGGTGTCTGGGTTGGCAAGCAAATTAAAATATGTTGTGAAGATTCCACACATCTACTCTTCAATTTACATATAATTGTTCCATTTAATAGAAAAGGAAAAGTAGAAGTTCATAATACAATATCTTTGAATTTTGACAATCTAAGCACACTAAAGATATCAATAATCACTCAGAAGATTTTGGTAGCTCAGATAAATGTGTGAATGGTTCAAGTGTAGTTACAAAGATTTCTCATAGAACTCATTATTGAAGTGGTGATTACCCAGAGTTTATTTACTACAAGTTTGTACATGCTGGCAGCCAAGTACCCAAAGAGTTATTATATCATCCCCAAATTGTTTATTTAGCGACCTTTGTACAATTCAGTTCCTCTAGTGTATGCCAGCATCTTAGTTTTTCAATACCATAGTCCTTTCTGGGGGACACCACCTGCTGAGCAAATTGAATATCCCTCCACACTTTTGCCTAGCATGGTCCGTGGACTGGACCTCAGCTCACATAAGCGATTTTGTCACTAATTTTGTTCAGATTCCACTGAGGTCCATTTTTGAAGTCACCATTTATCCAGGCACACTTATAAAAGGGAAATTTAGAATGAAACATGTGGCAGACACTGAGCTCTCAGGAATCCATCTCCCTGGGACACACTGGCCCACACTATTCAACCGTGGAGGCCAGCATCACTGATGACCCCAGAGTCCCATTGTCACTGGAGGGTTACACTCCCTGAGAGGAATGTCAGTATCTTCAGGACAAAGTGCTTACCAGCATGAAAATTCTCACTGGCCCTTAAGGATGAGAGGCAAAATTGTTACTGAAATACTCCTTCATGTCAGATCTCAAGAAGAGGGAATAAACTCATTCATATGAAACCCAGCTCTTGGTCCATCTTGAATTGTAGTAATAGAATGTAAAGATGTAATATGTAAAGATGAGAAGCGATAATGTACATTTATCAACCAAGCAAAAGATGGAATAGAAGGACGAGGGGAAGATGGTGGAAGAGTAAGTCGTGGAGATCACCTTCCTCCCAACAGATACACCAGAAATACATCTACACGTGGAACAACTCCTACAGAACACCTACTGAACGCTGGCAGAAGACCTCAGACCTCCCAAAAGGCAAGAAATTCCCCACGTACCTGGGTAGGGCAAAAGAAAAAAAAAAAAACAGAGGCAAAAGGATAGGGATGGGACCTGCACCCCTGGGAGGGAGCTGTGAAGGCGGAAAGGTTTCCACACACTAGAAGCCCCTTCGCGGGCAGAGACTGGGGGTGGCGGAGGGGGAGAGCTTCGAAGCCGCGGAGGAGAGCACAGCAACAGGGGTGCGGAGGGCAAAGCAGAGAGAGTTCCGCACAGAGGATCGGTGCCAAAAGGCACTCACCAGCCCGAGAGGCTTGTCTGCTCACCGGCCAGGGTGGGCGGGGCTGGGAGCTGAGGCTTGGGCTTCGGTCGGAGCGCAGGGAGAGGACTGGGGTTAGCAGCGTGAACACAGCCTGCAGGGGGTTAGTGCACCACGGGTAGCCGGGAGGGAGTCCGGGGAAAAGGCTGCCTCGAAGAGGCACGAGACTTTTTCTTCCCTCTTTGTTTCCTGGTGCGCGAGGAGAGGGGATTAAGAGCGCTGCTTAAAAGAGCTCCAGAGATGGGCACGAGCCGCAGCTAAAAGCGCAGACCGCAGAGACGGGCATGAGACGCTAAGGCTGCTGCTGCCGCCACCAAGAAGCCTGTGTGCGAGAACAGGTCACTATCCACACCCCGCTTCCAGGGAGCCTGTGCAGCCCGCCACTGCCAGGGTCCCGGGATCCAGGGACAACTTCCCGAGGAGAATGCATGGCGCGCCTCAGGCTGGTGCAACAGTCATGATGGCCTCTGCTGCTGCAGGCTTGCCCCGCACTCCGTGCCCCTCCCTCCCCGCAGCCTGAGTGAGCCAGAGTCCCCGAAGCAGTTGCTCCTTTAACCCCGTCCTCTCTGAGCGAAGAACAGACGCCCTCCGGTGACCTACATGCAGTGGCGGAGCCAAATCCAAAACTGAGCCCCGGGAGCTGTGAGAAGAAAGAAGAGAAAGGGAAATCTCTCTCAGCAGCCTCAGAAGCAGCGGATTAAAGCTCCACAATCAACTTGATGTACCCTGCATCTGTGGAATACAAGAATAGACAACGAATCATCCCAAATTGAGGAGGTGGACTTTGAGGGCAAGATTTATGATTTATTCCCCTTTTCCTCTGTTTGTGAGTGTCTATGTGTATGCTTCTGTGTGAGATTTTGTCTGTATAGCTTTGATTCAACCATTTGTTCTAGGGTTCTATCCATCAGTTTTTTTTTCTTTAAAATTCTTTTTCTTAATATTTATGTTTTATTTTAATAACTTTATGTTTATTTTATCTTCTTCCTTCCTTCTTTCTCTTTTTTCTTCCTTCCTTCCTTTCTCTCTCTCTCTCTCTTTCTTTCTTTCTTTCTATTTTTTCTCCATTTTCTTCTGAGTCATGTGGATGAAAGGCTCTTGGTGCTGCAGCCAGGAGTCAGTGCTGTGCCTCCGAGGTGGGAGAGCCAAATTCAGGATACTGGTACACAAGAGACTTCCAAGCTCCACATAATATCAAATGGCAAAAATCTCCCAGAGATCTCCATCTCAACGCCAGCACCCAGCTTCACTCAACAACCAGCAAGCTACAGTGCTGGACACCCTATGCCAAACAACTAGCAAGACAGGAACACAACTCCACCCATTAGCAGAGACGCTGCCTAAAATCATAACAAGTCCACAGACACCCCAAAACACACCACCAGACGTGGACCTGCCCACCAGAAAGACAAGATCCAGCCTAATCCACAAGAACACAGGCACTAGTCCCCTCCACCAGGAAGCCTACACAACCCACTGAATGAACTTTAGCAACTGGGGACAGACACCAAAAACAACGGGAACTAGGAAACTGCAGCCTGCAAAAAGGAGACCCCAAACACAGTAAGATAAGCAAAATGAGAAGACAGAAAAACACACAGCAGATGAAGGAGCAAGGTAAAAACCCACCAGACCTAACAAATGAAGAGGAAATAGGCAGTCTACCTGAAAAAGAATTCAGAATAATAATAGTAAAGATGATCTAAAATCTTGGAAATAGAATAGAAAAAATACAAGAAACATTTAAGAAGGACCTAGAAAAACTAAAGATGAAACAAGGAACGATGAACAACACAATAAATGAAATGAAAAATACTCTAGATGGGATCAATAGACTCTAGATGGGATCAACTGAGGCAGAAGAATGGATAAGTGACCTGGAAGATAAAATAGTGGAAATAACTACTGCAGAGCAGAATAAAGAAAAAAGAATGAAAAGAACTGAGGAGAGTCTCAGAGACCTCTGAGACAACAGTAAATGCACCAACATTTGAATTAGAGGGGTTCCAGAAGAAGAAGAGGAAAAGAAAGAGACTGAGAAAATATTTGAAGAGATTATAGTTGAAAACTTCCCTAATATGGGAAAGGAAATAGTTAATCAAGTTCAGGAAGCACAGAGAGTCCCATACAGGATAAATCCAAGGAGAAATATGCCAAGACACATATTAATCACACTGTCAAAAATTAAACACAAAGAAAACAAATTAAAAGCAGCAAGGGACAAACAACAAATAACACACAAAGGAATCCCCATAAGGTTAACAGCTGATCTTTCAGCAGAAACTCTGCAAGCCAGAAGGGAGTGGCAGAATATATTTAAAGTGATGAAGGAGAAAAACCTGAAACCAAGATTACTCTACCCAGCAAGGATCTCATTCAGATTTGATGGAGAAATTAAAACCTTTACAGACAAGCAAAAGCTGAGAGAGTTCAGCACCACCAAACCAGCTTTACAACAAATGCTAAAGGAACTTCTCTAGGCAAGAAACACAAGAGAAGGAAAAGACCTACAATAATGAACCCAAAACAAATAAGAAAATGGGAATAGGAACATACATATTGATAATTACCTTAAATGTAAATGGGCTAAATGCTCTCACCAAAAGACACAGATTGGCTGAATGGAAACAAAAACAAAACCCATATATATGCTGTCTAC